TTTGAGGTTTTATAAACATTTTCACGTTTTAATATATATATCGAAATCTGGTGATCCGTGCCGATCCCGACCAACATTTCCGTTAATACTTTCGAGACCAGTTAGGTTCTCGGTGGAGTGAAAATTCGACTTTCTCGAGAGACCTCGTCCAGAGGTGGACAGAATATGTACATACGTCGTACTGGTTTCAGAAAAGTCGACAAAGAAATTCTATTTCAGAATTTCACGACCTTGATTAGGACCTCCATAATTACGTGTTAAAGTTTCAAATTATTCGGTGCATCCAGTTTTGAGGTTTTATAAACATTTTCACGTTTTAATATATATATCGAAATCTGGTGATCCGTGCCGATCCCGACCAACATTTCCGTTAATACTTTCGAGACCAGTTAGGTTCTCGGCAGAGTGAAAATTGGACTTTCTCGAGAAATCTCGTCCAGAGGTGGACAGAGTATGTACATACGTCATCATGATTTCAGAAAAGCCGACAAAGAAATTCTATTTTAGAATTTCACGACCTTGATTAAGACCTCCATAATTACGTGTTAAAGTTTCAAATTATGCGGTACATCCAGTTTTGAGGTTTTTATAAACATTTTCACGTTTTAATATACATACATAGTATGCACCTTTCATATCACCTTAATCGGACAAAGAATCGGGTAAGTTATTTCCGAAGTTCGAGGAGCCATAAATCTCGAGAGTTGGTCGCAGCCGAAGAGAATTTCAGAAGGAAATTCGGGCCGAAGTATCTCGTCTCACCGCGGCGGCCAGGGGAACCCTAACCTCCAAAGGTAGGGACGTAGGCTCGGCAGTTTTCGATTTTTGTCCGGCGAATGTCTGCCCAAAGTGGTTGGACGAGTCCTACGAGCAGCCTCGGGCCCGGTGGAACGTTAGGGCCGAACGAGCTCCTCCTCTCCTTTTTAAGGAATACCCTGAAGAAACGCCTCGCTCGGTTCTGGAACGAGTTTTTGCAAATTCCCTCCGCGAGGAACACCCTTGGCCAGTTTTCAGTCTTTCCGCCGAAGGCATGCAAATCGCCAGTGGACGATACTTGGTAGGGTCTAACGACGGTCCGAAGAGGATAAAACTCCCGATAACACCTGCCCAGGACCTTCGAGACACGATTATGTCCCTGCGTCCATTAATGTTGTTTTTATGATGTAAACATGCTTAAATGCAAAGCTGGGAATAACTATTTCAATTGAATTCATTTATCCGAAGGGTAAAATGCCATTTTTTATTTCGTATTTGAAGTAAGAACAGAAAAGCCATTTTGGATTTTCTATATTAGATAGGTTTAAAGAACTATTTTACCCAGTTCTACTTAAACGTAGCAGAAGAATAAATTCGTGACAACCTTTCCGTTATTTCCTTAACCATAAACAGTGACACCGAATGACTACCGACGTCAAACGAACGAATGGTTTCGTTAAAGAAGCAAATAATATAATATAGTAAATCCGTGATTTCGGTAAAAGAACGGGTATATTTATTGACCAAACCGATAATTTCATTGAACGAATTATATTCGTTCCAATTCATCCACCCGGAATAATAACTCCGGGATATTGTAATTTTTCCCGAGCAGGTCGTTAAAGCAACGAGACAACCTAGGGACGTACTGGCACAATTTCTTTATATTACATTTAACGGCGTCGTTTCGATTCTCCGTGGCAAACCTAACCTTAGCGACGCCGCCGAGCGTGGCTTTGATTTCGCTAACGAGAGAGGGCTCTCCGCCCCACTGAGTAACGAGAGGAATTAAAGAAATCAAAGGGAAACGGATATCTCTCGCCAAAGAAGTTACACGCCGGCTCGGAAGAGGTTATGTCACTTCTGTGTGTCTTCCCCGCGCACTCGAATTTCGATTTCCGGTAACGGGAAACCTCCGCGAGATCGCATCGCCACCCGCTAGGTGGGAATTTATGAGTGAAGTCGTCGCCATTTATATTTTCCGAAGCACCTTAGATTTCAAAATCATTGCAATTTCGATTATAACGGAATGTTCTATTGAGAAAAAAAAATTCGCCACCCGCTAGATGGGAATTTACAAGTGAAGTCGATACAATTTATATTTTCCGAAGCACCTCAGATTTTAAAGTCATTGCAATTTCGATTATAACGGAATGTTCTACTGAAGGGGAAAAAAAATTCGCCTCCCACTAGGTGGGAATTTACGAGTGAAGTCGACGCCATTTATATTTTCCGAAGCACCTCAGATTTCAAAGTCATTGCAATTTCGATTATAATGGAATGTTCTACTGAAGAGAAAAAAAAAATTCCCCACCCTCTATGTGGGAATTTGCGAGTGAAGTCGACGTCATTTATATTTTCTGAAGCACCTCAGATTTCAAAGTTATTGCAATTTCGATTATAACGGCATGTTCTACTGAAGAGAAAAAAAAATTCGCCTCCCACTAGGTGGGAATTTACGGCTGAAGTTGACGCCATTTATATTTTCGGAAGCACCTTAGATTTGAAAGTCATTGCAATTTTGATCATAACGGAATGTTCTACTGAAGAGAAAAAAAAAAATTCGCCACCCTCTAGGTGGGAATTTGCAAGTGAAGTCGACGGCATTTATATTTTTCGAAGCACGTCAAATTTCAAAGTCATTGCAATTTTGATTGTAACGGAATGTTCTATTGAGGAGAAAAAAAAATTCGCCTCCCACTAGGTGGGAATTTACCAGTGAAGTCGATACAATTTATATTTTCCGAAGCACCTCAGATTTCAAAGTCATTGCAATTTCGATTATAACGGAATGTTCTACTGAAGAGATAAAAAAAAGACCCCACCCTCTATGTGGGAATTTGCGAGTGTAGTCGACGCCATTTATATTTTCCGAAGCACCTTAGATTTCAAAGTCATTGCAATTTCGATTATAACGGAATTGTTCTACTGAGGAGAAAAAAGAAATTCGCCACCCACTACGTGGGAATTTGCGAGTGAAGTCGACGCCATTTATATTTTCCGAAGCACCTTAGATTTCAAAGTCATTGCAATTTCGATTATAACGAAATGTTCTATTGAGGAGAAAAAAAATTCGCCACCCGCTAGGTGGGAATTTACAAGTGAAGTCGACGCCATTTATATTTTCCGAAGCACCTCAGATTTCAAAGTCATTGCAATTTTGATTATAACGGAATGTTCTACTGAAGGGAAAAAAAAATTCGCCTCCCACTAGGTGGGAATTTACGAGTGAAGTCGACGCCATTTATATTTTCCGAAACACCTCAAAATTCAAAGTCATTGCAATTTCGATTGTAACGGAATGTTCTACTGAAAGGAAAAAAAAATTCGCCTCCCACTAGGTGGGAATTTACGAGTGAAGTCGACGCCATTTATATTTTCCGAAGTACCTCAGATTTCAAAGTCATTGCAATTTCGATTATTACGGAATGTTCTACTGAAGAGAAAAAAATTCGCCACCCACTAGGTGGGAATTTACGAGTGAAGTCGACGCCATTTATATTTTCCGAAGCACCTCAGATTTCAAAGTCATTGCAATTTCGATTATAATGGAATGTTCTACTGAAGAGAAAAAAAAAATTCGCCACCCTCTATGTGGGAATTTGCGAGTGAAGTCGACGCCATTTATATTTTCCGAAGCACCTCAGATTTCAAAGTTATTGCAATTTCGATTATAACGGAATGTTCTATTGAGGAGAAAAAAAAATCGCCTCCCACTAGGTGGGAATTTACAAGTGAAGTCGACAAAATTTATACTTTCCGAAGCACCTCAGATTTCAAAGTCATTGCAATTTTGATCATAAGGGAATGTTCTACTGAGGAGAAAAAAAAATTTCGTTTTATAAACTCCAAAAATGTACAACATCGGCGAAAACAAATGCGCATTGCAGGGATAACTGAGAAGTCGAGCTACGCAATCCCGGATTTCTCAGTCATAACTCGTTCGAATCGGTTTCTTCTGACAAAATTGCGTTGCGATTGATACGCGATTGCGAGGACGAGGTTAAGAAAATGGCGCCGGATGACCCAGTATAGGATTTTTAAAAGACCGTTAATCGAGGCGCAGCTCTCCTCGAATTCGATTACGATTAAGTAATCGATGCCAGGCTGCCTCGATTAATGTCGACAGATAAGATCTTGGTCACGAGCAGATCTAAAATTAAATCTCGAGGATATTTCCGAACGTTCACCGATTCCTGAGTCCTACAAGGAGATGCATTTCCGGTATTCGGTCACTTTTACGGCCAAGTTCGTTGTTTCCGTCCAAGTGGCGATAAAGTTAGCCTACCGAGGAGAATAAAAATTGTCATATCCGTAGGATTATAAAATTAATAAAGAATTTTTAGTTCATCGGTGTAGATTAGACTCGTCTGCGAATGGACAAATCGCCCGTTTCCCCTGAAACCAGTCAATTAGGTCATTTCCTCGCATTTAATTCGACCGAACGGTGGCCGGAATTTTCTGCACTTTCTGAAGAACTAATCCGGAAATAAAACTTCTTTAAGCCGTCGGTTGGCGGGGAAAAAGTGGCGGATCTTCCGGTATCGTCCTCGAGATTAAAAGGGCCATTAGGTCTCCTTTTCGGCCATTCCCAGCCAGTTTCTGGCATCGTTCGGGGTGCAAATTATTCCCACTTGAGAAAGGCAAAAAGGCAAGCATCCTCAAAACAGACTGTTAAAAACCAGAGCAAAGTGGTCAACTTTAACCCTTTCGTTACGGCAGCCCGCTCTGCCGGTATAATGTTACTGAACAGGGCACCGCGCCGAAAATTGTAAACATTGCACGGCAGTAGTCTTCGGGGTTCACCCTTACGTCTTTCAACGCCACCTTGGCATTCTCTTGTATGTACACTATTTTAAGAGTTACATAACAACTGTTTCGTCGTATTGTATGAGAAACATGATGATCTTTTTTGCCGACTAGAGTCGGCGCTCGTACACCAGGTCGTCACATGGATGCTGATTATAGTCGGTGCCTGTAACGAAAGGGTTAATGATCTATGTACAAAGCCAGTGCTCGAAGTGTCCGAATAACATCTTTTATTTTAACTCTACCAGATCCACACCGAGTCATAGAAATGTCAAAGTCTTTTATACGGCGTTCGTACGCAGAAACACTAGCTTTATTACTAGTCAAATAAACATTATTAATAAATATTTCATCGTGAAAGACTTAGGAGTAAATTAATTTAATTCGTTAGAATTAAGTTTCGTTACGAGTCCAGTTAGTACGTCTTGTTAGGTGATGGACGAGGCTGTGCAAAAGCGAGTTGCAGTAGGTACAGCCAGCAGCGTGTTACATCTACTGAAAAGAATATTTTATCGTTGGTCTTACCGAGACAATTAAGCAGACTTTATTAATTTCCTGTGCCCTTTGGCCTTAGACGACACGAGTCACAGGGTACATCTGCAAAGAGTGGTGGTTGCAAATAAACGTTCAACTACCATTGTGCCAAAAACACGGTGAAGATAATGAGAACCAACCTTTCGCAAGTACGTCGTAATTACCCCAGCGCGGCTCAAAGTCAGTACTAGTCATGAAAACGCATTTTCTGTAGTTTAATTCGTTCCTTTTTCTCTTTTCCTCTTTAATTACACGCCACACTTTGGCGGCAATACCGTCATATCTTAACCGTCGAGTCAAACTCCCTTCCGAGTGCGAGGCACTTAAACCAAATACAACGAAATCTACATTAAAAAGTAATTAGCTAGTCGGACAGTTATTAGATACTTTTTCATTAACGAAGCATTTTTACAGAAACATTGTTTTGAAACAAACCTCTAAAGATGATTCATTAATCTACCGTCGCTATTCACAGAATCGTTACCAAACTTATGTATAAATCACGTCGCAACAAAAGTCAAAACCTAAGAAAATGGATTAATAAGATTGCTTTGAAATCAAAAACGACAAGACATCTCGATGCATTCGAGGACTCTCTCTACGCTAGACGCACGAGTCGAATTCTATGGAATCTATGACAGAGTGTACAAATTTAAACGGAATTCCTCGTATGGTCTGGCATCCGCTTTGGATAGGTGTACATAAATCGATAAATCACAGACGGTCACCCCCGAACGCAAACCCGAGATACAACAACATTGCGACCAGAGTGGGATACAACTTCTTTGCCACGCAAGGAAACTTGGCCCGTCTCTCGTTCTCTCTCTTCTCTAACAACTCTACCGGTACGAGTAAAAGAAGTATCGTACGAAATAAAATCTATATATATGTAACATGATTAGGTACTAAAAAAGAGGGTGATGTTTGATATAAAATAAAAACAGGGGAGAAAAAAGAAGTAGATGGTCTAAGCGAGAAACACGCACATGCGTACGATCGCACGAAACGTTTCCTTTGTACATGTCGAGGTTTCGAGGTTAGGTTATCGCCGACGTTACACTTGCGCGTGTTTAATTAATAATCACTAACAGCCGGTGCGTCCGCACTTGGCCGCTCGTGCCGACCCGAGCGGGCTCTTTACAATAATCACCACTTAATAGTCATTAATCGTTCGTTAAGCGCGTAAATCCGTTAAATCGATCAGTCGACTCTCGCACGTCGTCGGAGCCATTGTGCGCGAGCGCACGTCTAGGCCCCCCAACGAGGATCCGCCATTACGAAATCGCCTCGGCGAATCTATAAACAAAAACTCAGAGACACTCTCATTAGTAATTATAAATCAATGTTTAATGGCTCCAGAATAATTTACACGACAATCGAAAGGGGTCTCTGGGCGAACCCTGAATTAAATGGAAATTGTGATGTCGTCGACACTTTCCGTCACTCTCTCTCTCTCTCTCTCTCTCTCTCTCTCTTTCCCCCTCTGCGACGCGCGACGCGGCGTCGCCCTCTCTCTCTTTCACTTTCAATATACAAACTAGCCCGCCTCTCGAAATAAATAATCTTCCATGATTCGCGCATCCCGTAAGACGAATTCGAAAGGACGCTCTCCCTCGACGATGTAATACTAGAAGCTACGCTCGCATATCGGTAAATCGTAATTTCATTAATATTTGGTAATATATGTATAACGCGCACCGTAGAGTGGCTCTAGTCCTCTTCAGGGTGATCGGCCAATCGCAAAGGTTAGCGTCACGGCGCAAAGTGGTCCTAGCTCGCTTCGGGGCGAAGAGATCGTAACAGAAGACGAAATTTACCACGAGAGGTAAAATTGTACCTCGACATTAATTAAAGTAAGCAACCTAACCTATAAAACGCGTAAGAGGCCAAAGTTTAAGGCGATACGAAAGGGTCATTCCAAACATATCGAAACGTTAAAATGTTTACAAAACTTTTCTCCAAATTGGGCGTACCGAATAATTTGAAACCTTCCAACGTGATCAAGGAGGTTCCAACGAAGGTCTTGAAACTCACGAAATTTGATTTTCAAGAAGAAACGATTTTTCTCGGAAAATCAAATTTCGTGAGTTTTAAAGCCTTTATTTGAGCTTCCATAATAGCGTGTTAAAGTTACAAATTATTCGGCCCACACAGTTTGGAGAAAGGTTTTATAAATATCCTGACTTTGTCATATGCATATACGACAGTTTTATATCACCTTAATCATTTCCTTCTTAGTACGGCGAATAACTAGAATTTGGAAGGAAACGCGAGGTCCAACGATGCCAGTGGGGCGATATCGCTGGACGACTTCGTGGCTGGGTCGGGCCTTGTCGAGCCCCTCGAAGAGGTCCCTGAAGAGCGACGCCGTTCGCCGGTGGTTCAGATCAGATCAGAACGACTAATTCCTTCCTCTTCCAGTACGGTGAGCGCAAGATTTCGAAGAAAACGCCATCCTTCGACTCGAGCGGGCTCTCCTTCGCGATGCCACCTGGTGGAGCCGAGATTCCTGGACGATTCGAAGACCGCGACCTGGAGGTGCCCTCGGAGGTTGATTTTTCCCCTCTTGTCGGTGCGGCGAGCTCAGAATTTATAAGAAAGCGCGGGCCTCCGGATGAGCCCCGAAGAAGGTCGTCCTACTCTGACCCGGGTCCGGTGGTCGCCACCCTGGAGTCCGCGGAAACGAGTCCGGTGTCTCCGAGCCGGGTTACAAGTGGTGCCACTGGGTGGACATGAGGTTGCTGGACGACTCGATGGCCCTGGCGATGGCCTCGTGGAGGCCGTGGCTGAGCCAGACCTGGTTGAGCTGCCTGTAGAGGTCCCTGCAAAGCCTGAGGGGGTTCCCCCGCCTGAGACCCTGGTCAGTCTCGCCGTACTCGTCTAGGTAGGGAGGCCGCACGAAGCAGCCCCTGTTGGGGCTCCTCAGATAGAGGACCTCGCACTCGCGGACCCTCAGGAAGACGCCGACCCCGGTGCCGCACTTGCTGGCATGATAGGTGCACGCGCCCACCATGGTCTTGTTGAGCTCGGTCTGGCAACAGTAGCTCTGGGAGCAGAGCATCTCCCCGCACACGAGGCACATGGTGGGGTTCCTGGAGTCCTCGCGGTCGCTGTTCGGGCAGATGAACAGGGAGACGGTGTTGATGAGCTCGCTGTAGTCGTCCGGCAGCTCCACCAGCTTGTTCACCCTGAGAGGGTCCTTGCTGACCGGTATACAGTCCTCGTCTGCGAGGTAGGCCTCTACCGTGGGATTGCTCCTCCAGGTGGCGGCCAGCTTGAGGACGTCGTCGAGCCGCGCGTCCAGGAGGTCACTGCAGGTAACCGGCAGCCCCAAGTATTTACAAATGTTTTCGTAGGTGTCCTCGCCCTTCCTGGTGAGCTCGGCGGGGGCGGGGACGTCGGTGACGTACCGGAAGAAGAGGGCCGAGCACCTGAGGAAGGGCATGCAAGACTCCTTGACCCTGCGCCAGAGGGCCGGGGCCGCGTGTTCCTCGACCTTTAGTCCCAAAGTCTTACACAAGGCCAGAAGGGAAGCGTAGCTCGCAGGGGCCTCCTCCGCCGCGGGCTCGTCCACCTCCATGGGCTCGTTCCGCTCGAGGTCCATGGTGAGAAGGATCTTGACGATGAGCGACACGAAGACCAGGTAGAGGGCGTGCGACTCGGAGACGCCGCCGGTGATGACCGGGGGCGGCGTCGAAGTATCCATGTGGAAGAGGTTCGGCAGGGAGACGACCAACGGGACCAGGACCCCGAAGGCGTCCCAGTGGAGGACGCTGGCGTCGTCGTTGGGGTTCTCCAGCAGCATCGTCAGCAAGGCGAGAGCGTGATTCCCAACGACGTTCTCGGTGCTCGAGGAGGAGTTCCCAGAACCGCCGTTAGGGAACGTGGACCCAAGTATGGCGGCGATCCGGGCGAGGCCCTCGAGACTGTCCCGTTGCCTGGAGGAGAGGGCCCCTAGGAGCGGCTTATCGGTGTCCTGGAGAATAAAATCGATCGCGTGGATGGTATACGCTGTCGACTTCCAGGTGAGCAAGGGTACGCGGGAGTCGCCCTCGTGGGGCTCGACCCCCAGGCCCTTGGTGTACGTCGCCTGAGCGAACAGCTGCACCATGGACACCAGGTTTTTCGAGAGGGTCGGACCCGGCTGGTTGTACATGGAGAAGACGTCGGCACTGGGGATGCCCAGCTCCTGGTAGGCGATCTCCTCCGAGGTGGGGCTCTGCCGCCCCTTCGAGTCCTCCTCCATGGTCTGCACCTCCTCCTCCGACTTGGAGCCCCGGTCCTGGCTCTTCTCGGCGACCTCACCTGTCGCGGATTTGGTCCCTCCCTTCGTCTTACAGTCCAGGATCGCGCGCAGGGACTGCAGCCACTCGCTGAAGCCCATCTCCTCCTGGTTGGACGTCGAGGGCTGGATGGTTCCCATGGCCGGCAGCAGAGGCAGCACCGTGTTGCTGAGGCACTCGCACAGCGGGCACAGGTACTCGTGCTTCTCCACGTCGAAGCTGGCCGGCTGCCTCAACCGGTACGGTCGGCGGTTCTCCTTGGCGAGGACGTTGTCGAAGTACTTTTGCCAGCATTTGGCATGCATCACGTGGCCGCAGGTGCTGGTGTGCGGCGAGGCGCCCAGCTTGTACGACAGGAACAGCGGGTCCGCCTCCTCGGTGTTGGCCCTGTTTTGGCAGAGAACGGTGGACTGCTGAACGAAGGCCGCCAGGACCATGGCCGGGCCCGACGCCGTCACCGTCTGGTCCTCCTGGCACAGGATGCAGGTGTAGGCCTTCTCCTCGCACATCCGCCTCGTCTGGCTCTTCCCCAGAGCCACCGACTCTTCTTGCGTGAACTCCCCCAGGTCCATGTTGGTCCCCCGGTCGCTGCTCCGGTTCACGTCCGCCGCTGCCTCCTCGAACAGCTTGGCGTTCTTCTTCATGAAGAACTTCTGCATGGCTGCCATCTGCGCCATGATCTTCGACCGCTTCTGGGCGGCCATCTTGGTCCTCCACTCCTTGGTGGTTTTGTTGGCGGCCAGGTAGGAGGTCTGATCAGCCGGAGACGAGCTGGTGGTCTCGGAATTGGTCGACTCCGCCACGGAGGGGTTCACCTCCGCCCACTTGGCCAGCACCCAGGTAAGCAGGTCCTTGTGGGCCTCCACCCGAGGGCTCGTAGACAGGTCCTTCAACAGGTTGTAGACGCTCCACTTGGCCGCCCACTCCGTAAAGTCGAAGAACGGATAGTACCCTGACTGCTCCTCCTGCAGGGCGTAGCCGATCAGGTGCAGGACCTTGTGCACCTGCGGCTCGGAGAAGCTCCTGGCCTTCAGGTTGAGCGCCCGCTCCAGTACCGTCAGCATGATGTGCATCATGACGTCGCACTGGAGGAGGTTCACCACCAGGTTGAACGCCTTCGTTAGCTTCGGGAGCTTCGGAGGTGGACAGCACTCCAGCTCCCCCAGGGCTTTTCGCCGCTTCCTTTGGGCCTCCTCCGACTTGCTTAGCTCCTCCTTCGTGTAGTGATAGAAGAAGACGTTGTACTCCGAGTAGAGGTGCGGCTTCAGCTCGTAGACGCCCTTCCCCATCGAGGTCTGCGGCGACTTCTTGAAGTCCGCCACTTGGTCGATCACCCTCTCCATCCCGGTCTCCTCATGGACGTTGTCGGGCAGGGTTTTGTTCAGCTCCGAGTGCGAGAGCGGCTTGATGCAGAGCTGCTGGATGATCTCCTTCTTCAGCCTTTCGTCGTTGTCGACCTGCGCGACCCCTGGGACGTGTCTCTCCCCGACAATCGTGATCAGCAGCCCCAGGAACTCCTCCACCAGGTTGATAGTCTGTCGGATGCTGTCCTCCTCGGGGTTCTTCAGGGTGTTGGCCTCGAAGTTCGGGTCGGCCCAGTTCAGGAGATTAAACTTGTTCAGGATGTGGATGAGGAACTCGCTTCCCTCGATTAGCGAGGCACCGACCTGCAGGAGAACGATGTCCCGGTCGAGCATCTCCGTGCGGCACTTGACGTTGTGATAGAAGTAGAGCTGGTTCAGCAGGGAGTACCCGTTTCTCCTCCACATGCCGGCGTGTACCTGGGAGATCATCGCCTGGGCCCTCAGGACCGGCTCGATGATCTGCTCGGGAGTCGGCTTGCTCGAGGTTGTGAACTCGTTGCTCTGGAAGTAGAGGTTGTGCCGTTCCAGATAGAGGAACAGGCCAGCCAGGAACCTGGAGAGCGGCAGGTGGATGGAGACCGGCTCGGAGGCTACGTCGTACTGCAGACACATGGCCGAGTGGTTCCCCAGTTCCCGGATCTGCCCGGGCCCCGGGTCGTCTCCCGGCAGCTCGGACAACTTCCTCAACACCAGTCTGAACGCCTTCACCAGGACTAGCTTGTCCGAGCCGCACCACTCCAGGACGAGGCTGATCACCGGGGAGAGCTTAATGTGCAGGTTGAACGCCGACTCCCATTCGGGCTCGTACTCCATGTGCTGGCCGACCTGTCTGAGCACCGCATCCATGCACTGCATGCTGCAGAGCAGCGTCAGGAACAGGGCGACCCCTTGCAGGAACCCGCGTCGAAGCTCGTCTGTCCAGGTGTCCGGCTTGGCGCTGAGCAGGTGTCGCAGGTCGTACAGGACGTATTGAGCCCTTTTGAAGGACGTGTTCGGAGTGTTCCTCTCGAACTCCAGCTTCCCCGCCGCGTTGCACCGCCTGGAGCTCTCCGAGATGAACGTGTTCAGGAGGATGAACAGCACGTCGTGGTGGGCGATCAGGTGGTGCGCGAGAGTCGGCACCGTGAACAGCTGCACCGAGAGCGACACTATCGAGAACGAGTGGTCGTGGTCGTCCCTTATGAAGTCCTTCATCACCGAACCGTAGTTGTTGGTGAACACTATGGCCAGAGCCTTCTTGCTTTCGTACTCCATCAGCATCCCGGAGATGAAGAGTCGGTGCCAGGCCGATCGAGCCGACTTCCACAGCTGCGAGTCCCTCATGAGGATGCCCTCTACGATGGAGATCTCGGGGAGCTTCGTGTTCAGGGCAACGTTGCTGAAGAGTATTCGGAAGCCTTCGCAGAGGCTGATGAAGTGCTGCAGCCAGGCCAGCAGCTTCATGGCGAACATCTGGTGGGCCACCACGTGGGCGTGGACCACTAGAACCTTCAGGGGACGACTTCCATGGCGGGAGGTAAACTTCTCAATGTCCGACTTCAGCTCGTTACAGTGCTGGAAACCTGAACACTTCACTACGGCTCTGCCTTCGCGGTCTATATTCGTCACAAACTCCACTGCGTCCCTTTGGGAACACTTGATCACTCTGGTTAGGGTACTTATCACTTGTTCGAAGGTATGGGTCTCGTCGTTAAACAGAACGGTGCAATAAGTGTCGGATGTCGAAGAGAGGGAGAGGAAGTCCACTTCAGTCTCTTGAAGACGCAGGTCGGCGGGTAGACTCGGGGTGTGGTCCAGGGATAATAGTTCGTAGCAATATTTTAGAACCGCTTCGAAGGTAACGTTTGCCCTCTCTACGACGTCTTCCGGCAGCTTGTTGACAGGGGACTTCTTAACCTGAGTTCCTGCCAGGTGTATGTCACAAAAGGGTTCGTTCTTCCAGGCCTCGGTGTCCCCACAGTCACAGCAGCCTCCCCCACCCGACGTTCCCATTTTGTATTTGTGATTACGATGTGCCGACTGCTTGAAGCAATTCACGCACAAGACGCAGGTTGGGTCCAAACCGCATTCCCTGCAGCTGTACGTTGGCTCGCCCATTTTGAAAACTCTGCCGCAGAAGGAGGGTGGGTTGTCCATTTGACTGAGTTTTTTCAGGACATCTTGTGGATTGCCATTGCATATAAACTCTTCCAGGGTATCGAAGAGTATGTCGTGAGCTTCTATCTCGTCAAAACACCACTCCAGACAATTGTCGTTCGGCTCTGGACTGTACATTTTTGGAACCCAGATTCTCCAGTGTTCTTTGAAGTGGGTGCATGATAGTATCCCTTTGCTCATCTTGTCCATCCAATAGCTGATGCATGGTTTACTGGAATTTCGTATCGGCGGGGGAAGTTCGATGTCCCCGATCGCATCCTCGGGATGAACCTGCATGTTTTCGTTACTCATCGTTCGATATGCGTATCACTGCTGGTCAACTATGAAATCTGGAAACATAATCGAGCATTGAGATGTACACATCTCAAAGATAGAATAAACAATTCTATAGATTTCTGATAAACAACTCTCTTTTTCCTTTCAAAATTTCTGCTATTTTCGATCGGCAAAATATATTTTTTTCAAATGAGAAATGTGATCATAATGTTCCACAAGAAAATTCAGGATGCAACTTGATACGCATCATTGCCCATAAATAATCCAGTTGATGTTAAATCTACTTTGTTATTTCTATATCGTCAAAAGTCTACCAGTTTTTCGGATCCTTTTTTTTTACCAAGTTTGAAATTTAATTTCTTTGACCCTTTAATTTTAGACCTGCCTGAAATTCATTGTGCAAGGATGATCAAAGTTGGTTCTAAAATAAATATCCATTAATCGTCTCGTTCTGAATGAAATTTTGAACACAAATATTGAAGAACCGACGTGTAGATATCATATGTATACAAAAAAAAGCAAATCAATATTTATCCGACTCAGTCTTCAAACTGCACATAAAATAAATCACAGCCTACAGAAGTAGAAGTAAATATATTACTAAACTGAAATAAATTAATCCATGATAATGCGAAGGACTGACATCTAGATTTTTTTTTCAGTTTAACCAACGCACAATAAACGAGTGAAATTCTCCCACAAAGAGAATGTTTTTGAAGATCCATGAAACAATCATCAACGAATACGAACCGTTTCAATCTACCCAACATCAGAAAACGTTACCAAATTGGCCATAACTTTTTCATAATACGATGTAAAGTACTTTGTGGGCGAGAGCACGAAGATGCCGGAAACCATCTCCAAAGAAAAAATGAGACAATGGAGAGACACGGACGAATGTTGTCGTCCTTCCACAGCCTCCACATATGGCAATCGAGAACGAAGGAATGAAATCGAAATTCTCATACTTACAAAGAGAATCCTCCTGAAGGCCGAGGAAATATCCATCGACGAGCAAATACCATTTAAACCGACTTGACGTCGAACGACGTTTCCAACATGCCCTCTCAAGTTCCGCGTGGAACGACGCAGAATGACCGTGCAGGTGAGATTAGAATATTTCCAGGCCTTGTGAAAGGTAGCAGTTTCTTTTGAAGAATCTTCGCACGGCGGAAGCTCGACTGACGTGACAAGTCAAAAAGAGCACCGAAAGCTCTCGTCTTTGAGGAACGCACAGTTGGCTTTCTACTAAACTGTACTATTTTTAATCACTTCCGAGAGTAGTACTTACTGGTGTGACGACCAGGCCAAGGTTATTAAAGGTACTCGAGAGCTCTTTGTTTCGCGTAACTTGGAACAATTCCGAGATGCCGTGGCCGTGGGGTGCATTCGAGTTATTGCCCGGCTGGAAGATCACGCGCTCGAGCGGTTGCCGCGCATCTTTAAGTATTACCAGTGAACAGCCCCTGACATCTCGATGCGAGAGAATGAGAAATGTTATCGCACAGCTGCTTGGACAATGCACAAAATGGCCTTCGCCACGAACTTCCACGGATCAGAGGTCTCCGAGATGAGGAATCGAGTACGACTTCGAGTGCCGATCGTGGCACCATCTGGCGGAAATGCGGAACGCCATTTTTCAGTTCAATGGGCCCCCACGTGACAGGGATAGTATTTATAAATTAGAGTGATATTCCCGATGTCAAGATATTTTTTAGCTGGAAATTGTGTCCCTTTAATTTATGATTCCTCTCTTGCTCGCGATGATTTTTTATTTCCGTAGTTTGCGTTGCCTGCCACCCGTATTGATTTAAAAATACACAAAATGTTATGAAGTTAGGTTACCTGATTACTTATGGCTTGTCCATCTATTGGCCGTTTAAAAAACTAAAATCTTCAGAAATACAATTAAAATTTTCACGCAGTATAATAATCATTCATAGTTTGTTGAAATTATTGAAAATTACTTGAACGTTATTAAAGAATTAGATTCCCATAAATTCTTATAAATTCGCATGGGATTTAATCACTGGTTGTATTCTCGTTCTCGATTATATTATCCGGATAATGTAACTGTGAAAAGCAGTAGGTGGCAGCAGATCACGGTAGCGGCGAAATATTTGGGATAGACACTCTTATAACTTTTTATTGTCATGGCTCTGCGTATCCAGTTGAGCTAACCTAAACATTTTTCGTAACCTGTACATACATACCATGTGACAATAATCTATCAGAATTTCATCTCTGAAATATTTAATTATGTTTCCTACAAGCATGAAGACTATCTTGAACATGCGTTCGAGTTTACCAGCTTTGCTCTTATCTTCCATAAGCTGTCATGCAAAGCACCAGTGTTTGACAATGTCTATGCTTCGTAATGGTTTCATTCGGCATACATACCGTTATAGGTTTTTCCATTACGCTGGCATTTCAGGAAACTCTAGACTTGTTAATAATATTCAACAGATACACGTAAGATGTACTCATTCTTTAGACCATTCTAAAGCGCGCTCCAAAGAAGAAGAAAATCTTACCGAAAACTATTTTGCTTATAAGTTCTTCAAATCACTGGATCGTTACCCTGATTCAATTGCTAGAAAGTATCCTTCACAGAGTGTCTATTCTGCAGATGACGTTTACAAGTTGTTTCATACTAATTGGTCTTCTGCTGAACCGAAAGACATCGCAGCTGCTTTTATAGCATTGTCATATCATGCTAAAAAGCACAAAGATGGTATTACCGACGAGAAATACAAGAGCATTCTTATAGCTTGCACCGAAAATATTAATCGATTTAGTGAAGAAGAAATCAATAATATCATTTTATGCTTAGGCCATTTTTGTCCATCTAAAAATACATGTACTGCCGAATACATGAATTTCTTCAAAGCACTTGACATGCATTGCGTAAAAGATCTTAAAACAAAATCCATCGCGAAGTTACTATACTTATGTGACGTGTGGTACAAAGCAAGGTTTTTGCATCGTGTACATTGTATAAAGCAAATACTTACAATCCTTGGTGACAAACCTAGGAAATTGTCTTACGAGCACTTAATTCAATTCATGTTCTATTTAAATCTTGCTCGTAAACCACCTATTAACATGTACGAAATTGAATATCATTGTGAGAAATTTATCGACCAAGCAACCGTTAATGAATTAGGGGTAATTGCTATGGGTTTTTTCAAAACTAGTACACCTATCAGAAATCGAACGGTACTTCATAAAATAATAAATAAACTCATGCAAAATTTGTCCGATACACATGAAATTGCACTTTCTGCAATCCTTAAACTTACAAGGTGAGTGCATTTCTCAGTTTTACTTCAATGGAGTTATTATGAGTTTGATTCTAACCAAATATTCTAAGAAAAGTGTGAAATATTGGTATTTTATACAGACTGAGCATGAACCTTTCCGAAACTTCGCTAATTCAGTTGCTATTAAGGAAGTTGATCTCAGAAGTGCCAAGGCTCTCGGTAACGTGTTTAGTACATGTTGCACATACATCTGCTTCCATACAGCTACAAGACGAGGAACTCATGGTTGAAATTATTAAAAAGTACGTATTCGGTTACTGCCTCATCTGCAACTCACGATTAATATTCTTTTGATTTTAGAGTTATGGAGAATATAAAGGAGTGCCGAGTAAAAGACTTAGAAAGGGTAGCTTTTGCAGCGTGCACATTCAATTACCCAGCTACGCATCCTCTTTATCAATATATTATAGCGGAATTTAGTGATCCTAAGCGATTGGAAGAGATTCAGAGGTATATGCAACCGTAACTCAGTTTTTCTTTTATACTTGAAATACTTGTTTTCATTAAAACACTGATTTAATGTAATCCAGGTATCCAAAGAGTCTTTCATACAGCTTACTTTTCTTGTCGCAAGTTAATCTCTACCCAAAACATCTGATAAATATAATGATGGATCCCAAATTTATAGAAAATTCGTATGAAAACGGGAAATCAATCGGTAGAGAATATCTTTCTCTAGATTGCAGTATAGAAATAGAGGTCCCTGATTACACAGGTCCAAGACTCGATAGTAAAAAACGCAAATCATTGGCAAAGGTAAAGTAAAAAAGGTCAGATATTAATATTCTTGAATTATTTTCTTACCTACTTTGTTACCCACTATACAGATTTGGACAAAGCCATCTCTGCCACTTACTGACAAAATGAAGGTACCAATAATGAACCAAACCCTAGCAGAAGTAATGGACCATTGTGCCGTATGTAATAAAGCAATTCTTCCTTTTTGCCAAGTCTTGTATAAAATTTGACATCATTTACTGTTATCATTAGGAAATATTGGAGTCCATGTCGGCAGTTCACAGCACTGTATTGCTACCACACTATAATAATCCAGACCTTGTTATCTGTTTGGATCATGAGAAGGAGCCAATTTCGCCAGGCCCTCTATTGTCACAGTATTCTTGCGAATCAATTAAATATCCCCCTGAAACGTTTAAAATTAGCGCAAGATGGATAGTGTTTGTAATAGTGGCTTATAGTGCTATGATCAAAACTGGCGAAGTCAGGAATAAACGAACTGGACTCACCATTATGAAAATGAGGCAACTGCAAAAAATCGGCTACACACCTTTCTTGGTATGCGTCTAATATTCTGTTTCTATTTAATTTATTGTACTTTTTAATAATAGTCATACATTCTACAGATTTCGAGTTCAGAGTGGATGAGTATAGGTAAGAATACTAAACACGAGTATCTGCGAAATATCATTAATAATTTATACTACGCTTCAAGTCGCAACGTCGACAAAAATGTACAGGAAATGATACCTTAATGTGATATTTTTTGTACAAAGTAATAAAAGTGATGCTAAAAATGCAACTCCACCTCATGGCTTGCTTTAATGTGTTAACGAAGCATTGGCTTGTTACTAATGTCTATGAACAGTACCGAGCACAATTTTGTATTTATTTACAAAACTAGTATTATGAATGAATCACATTATTTCTTCGAACAATTAATTGTGAATGACATTTTTAATAGGGTAACAGCATTATTCGTAGTCATCTAAGATTATTTGCTTTCTTACGATCTAGAAAATAGAGATAAAGATGAAAATGCTATCAGTTTTCAAAAATGATTATTCGAACGTCAATGTACTATGCTCCACGGTAATCTTATCTGTTTTCCAATTATCACATTGGTTGACGCGACGTTATCTGCTACGAAATGTAAAGGAAATCCATCGAAACTATAAGTAATACTATACAATCATACATTTATTAATCACCTATAAAATTATGCAATAATTTTTTGCTATATTCATATGTTAAAAATAATGTAGCAGTCGCTGGTACCGTCCGTATAAGTGTTGGCTTTAATCCATTATAAAGTGCACCGATACCCTCTGTTCGTACAATGTCCTTAAAAACTACTGGAGCTGGCGTTTGCAAATTTTGTACCTTTAACACAAATGACATTTAAATTGGAATACAATTTTGTTACTACTAGTTCACTAATGATTTTTAAAAGGAGGGACTAACCTGTATTCTACTTTTGACTACGTCAGCTGGGAAAATTACCAACCACAACACTGATCCACCTACTGCACCGGCAACCATTGTCTTTTGCCATCCAATATCGTCTCTGCTTTGTCCCGGTTGAGTTAACAATTGCCTCGTGGCTTCGTAGCCTCCAAAAAAGAAAAAGTACCCAGGCATTTCTCTGGCTATTGTTGACGTTAACCCACGGAACAAGCCACGAAAACCATATTCATGAATGATTTTTTTTGTCAACTGACCAGGTCCTATTAAATTCTGACAAAAATACTGTTTAGTATTTAACTTTAAAAAAGAAGAAAAGGAAATGGTAATATTGTACTTACTACGGATTCGTTGGATACCGTTCTTTGTATCTGCACTTCCCTCATAGCTTGTAACTGACACTTTATTAGTTCTGTCGGGCAAAGTGTTAACGATGAAAAGAATGCTGCAAAAAATCCGGCCCAAGCATTACCGAGAGAACCAAGGTCTTCCACTTTTTGAAGCCCTATGGTAAAATAAAATGTTTTGCTTACTGTTTATATATCTTCTCGGAAAGCCGTACTTACGTGATTATGAATTGTAACATGAATTAAAATGGTAAAGAGAATTATGATTTAAAAATTACCTGACAAATTAGCTATGGCTTTTTGACATGCTCCATAAGCTGCAAAAAGTACTGAATTTTCAGCAACGTTTGCCACAACGGCTGGTAACGTTCCTGCATACAATCCTCTTGCAACTCCGTCCATCCTTAATGTTTTCATAAAACAATCGACCATTCCTTTATACATTGATGGAAAGGTTTGCATCTTTACTTTCACAGTATCTAAAGGTTGGCCCACGTATACTAACGCTACTCCACCTGTTTAAGATATACAGAAATAATATTTAATCTTATTGCCATGATACCAGAAATATATTAGTATATTAATTCTCATTTATAATAGCATCGTTTTGAGAATAAAATTCACAATTATTACCAAGAGAGCCAGCGATGAAATCAATGATGCCACTTTTCAAGGCAGCTACGCCATCTCGGCCTTCCGAGTTTAATGTCTCCGCCGTCATATTCTGCAAAGAAAGATCGCTCATGGAAGTCAATACCTTAAATGATCCGAAAATATTACATAATTAATGTATATTGCATGAGACGTTAACGTCATAAGAAACTTAAAATACTTAATAAATTCCTCATGTACTTGAGCTCAACTAAGGCATTAGAATGTAGTGTAAGAAATTTGTATTCGATCAAATGGTTACATAAAATTGCTTGTACATATTTCCTTCATATCCTTCATAAATTCATTACAGGAAAGATGTGTCAGCTATTAAAACAGAAATTTTCACCATACCCTTTTTTTTCAGAGTCAATCAATGTCAATAAAATAGAATCAGGCTGTACTGACCCGAATTGTTGTTAATGAATGTAACATTTCCAAAGTAAGAAATTAGACCATTTTTCCAGGATAATTCAGTGCAGTTCAGTGGCTTCGTAGAAGAGATAAGAGAATTAGATAACAAAAAGTACATTTTGATGCCATTTACCTTGTCTTCCGCGAGTTGTTCACGACAATTATCAATAAATTATTGTAGTACGTGTCTCTTTTCTTTTCTTTGTTTTTAAATTATGGTGGATTATGGGGAGCACGTGCTTCTGTCAACCTCAGGCGGCACAGCAATCCACGCAATCAAACCAAACACGTGCGCACGAGTCATGAACGAAACATATATAGAACCTAACTTTGAAATCAAGTGACGCATCACGCGCGCAAATTCCGCATGGATATCCGTAATCTATGAAGTCTCCATCTAACAAGCCCGATAATCAGTCGAGCCGAAGTCAAAGATAACGCGGAATCAAAAAATATAACGCGTGAATATGTGTACAGACCAATGATAATTGTATATTGGTACACACATACATTCGTTTACCCCTTCCACTGCAAGGCGGTCTGCATAAATATATGGTCTAAAATGTGATTGGGTCCGAGTGCCGTCAGCTCACGTGGTCCATTCAAATTTACCCCTTCCATTGCTATGCGAGGTATAGATATTTATGGTGAAATATAAGGGATTCTATTTTATAAATTCGTTTTCACTCGCCGATATCGTCGCACAGTATTCTTCATATGAATGAATAAATGCCTGTTTAGAAAGATTTAATTATAAAATAACTGAAAATTATTGTCTACAGTAAATGTCTTGGAATAAGTTGTTTTAAATGTGAGTTAGAAGTTGCCACAGTAAATCACCATTTAATTTCCAAAAATTCTTAAAATGTTTTTAATTAGAACGCTTAGTAGAAATTTTCTATATGAGAAATATATATGTACATTTATGATAACAAGTACAACGTGAGGACAAGTTCTTCAGTAAATATGTTTAAAAGTATGGCTTACGCAGTACTTCTGCAAATTTGTATCATGTTGATCACTATATTTATTTTAATAACTTATATGATCTCATTTCTCCTTAATTATACATAATGATACAGAAATAATTATCTTCTAAATTAATTCGTATCTTCATTACTGGAAGTTGGGATAGATTTCACTCGTGGTTGCCTTATACGAACATCTCCATTGGCATGTCTTGCACGATGTCTTCTCATATCACCTAGTTGTGTGAAACTAAAGAGACATATGTCACATGTGTATGGCCGCACACCATCATGAATACGCATGTGAACGTTTAAGTGAGACTTCCTGAGGAATCGCTTGCCACATTTTGAACACTGATGCTTACGATTTTCCATAGGCACATGAATCTGCATATGTGTTGTTAAATTCTGCTTGTAACTGTAAAAGATTATTTAATTGGGGGTTTGCTTTTTCAATACTTTTATGATGATTAAATTCATAACGGTAAAGTTTTACTCTATACTACAGTATTACAGTCACAGGTTTTTAAACTGTATATTCATACCTGAAACACTTTCCGCAATGTTCACATACAAAGTTTCCTTTATCATGGCGCTGAATATGAGACCATCGAGCTGTGTAACTTCTACAAAACGTATAAATTTGTCAGTTTATATTTAAATGAGCAAAATTATGATATTTGTATACATTGAAAGAGAAAGTACGATATACCGAAATTTTTTCTCGCAAATATGACAACTGTATGGTTTTTCTCCTGTGTGGATGTGTTCATGATCCAAAACAGATTTATAGGTAGCTAATTTCTTTCCGCAGTATCTGCATACAAAACAACCACTCGTGTACTGCTTCTTTGGTTGTATTCTGATGTTAGGTTCTAGTCCATGAACTTGTTGAACATGATTAGCCAACTGGCGTAATCTCTCAAATACCTCCTCACAATGGTCACACTTATGACCGAAATGCTTTGCTCTATGTACTCTCTAATAATAAATATACATAGTTATAATTTGCCAAAAATAATGTTTAAAAGCTTATATAGTACAAAGCACATATTTTACCATATTTGATAATCGATGAAATGTTCGACCGCAAATATCACATTGATGTGGCTTAATGCCTTCGTGAATAGACTGATGATGTTCCTTTAGTCTGACATTGTCCCTAAATGATCGGTTGCATAATTTACATTTGTATTTATCCCAGCATTCAGGATCATGTACCTATAAAAGCAATATTTACATAAACCATTATAAATTTAGATAAAAGTAATGCTGTAATGCTCAATTTTTTATTTCTTAAAAATATAAGATATAATATTACTTACATTACGGTGCTTTTGGTAAAATTCTTTATCAACAAATACTTTAGGACAGGCAATGCATTTGTAAATGGTTACAGAAGGATCGTCTAGCATCTCCATTTTATGTTTCTAAGAATGTAGCAGTAGTTTACAAATTTTTCAATTCATGGAAATATTAAGATTATTTCCATACTTACTCTTAAATGTCGCGTGAGCTTGTGATTTGTTGAAAAACAAATTTTACAATATTTGCATGTATACTTTGAGAACTTTTTCGGACACACATTTTCCTCGTGATTTTCCCATTGCCAGCTGTTCGAAAAATATTTTCCACACAAATCACACACAAATTTTAAATTCACCCTTTTGTACAAATTGTGTATATCTTTCTTATGTTCAAAGAGTGCATAAATTGAAGAGCACTCTACCTGACACATATTACAAGTTTTAAGTTTTGGAAGGTGAACCTTTTTATGAGCCCTAAGAAGGTCATCATCATCTACAGAAGCATCACATATATCACATAGCACCTCTAAAGAACATAATGCTAATGGTGCTGCATCGGTAACAATAGGAATATCAAAATCATCATTAGTATTTGGACTTATTGGTCTTTTAAATACTTCCTCTTTAATCTGATCGGTTTGATTTTCGCTAGCTGATTCAGCTTCTACACAGGCTTTGCAGAAAATGATATTACCACCATGAATGTTTTCTTTATGAGAAATTAATTCCTTGGATGTTTCATAACTTTTATCACACAAATTACACCTCCATTTAAGTAAATGAATTGTTTCTATATGGCTATCAAATAAATTCATATCACGGAACATTTTGTTGCAAAGTTCGCATTCTACTGGACCATTGATGTCAGTCTTCTTTATCTTTTTGATACGCATATTCAAAGCCTCTCTTAGCGTTTCTTGTATTTGCGATTTAATCAACCGTGTACTGCCGGTATCATTGTCGACAGTTTCTACAGTGCTGAGTTTTTTAGATTCATTTAATTCTGCACGTAATAAAGCATCAGCTTTCATGGAATTTACAATTAACTTGTAACTAATATTTAAGCAGTGTAAGCAACGTTTACACACATATGAAGGTAATTCATCTGTTGATAAAACCTGTAGTGGTATTAACGAAGCAGTTTTAATAAAATATTTATATCATTTTATAGTAATGAACACTTACAACAATTGGTAAACATCTGCTAATCTTTTCAGCAACTGATAGATTATTTTCAGCAAAAAATCGTCGCACAGTATTCTTCATATGAATGAATAAATGCCTGTTTAGAAAGATTTAATTATAAAATAACTGAAAATTATTGTCTACAGTAAATGTCTTGGAATAAGTTGTTTTAAATGTGAGTTAGAAGTTGCCACAGTAAATCACCATTTAATTTCCAAAAATTCTTAAAATGTTTTTAATTAGAACGCTTAGTAGAAATTTTCTATATGAGAAATATATATGTACATTTATGATAACAAGTACAACGTGAGGACAAGTTCTTCAGTAAATATGTTTAAAAGTATGGCTTACGCAGTACTTCTGCAAATTTGTATCATGTTGATCACTATATTTATTTTAATAACTTATATGATCTCATTTCTCCTTAATTATACATAATGATACAGAAATAATTATCTTCTAAATTAATTCGTATCTTCATTACTGGAAGTTGGGATAGATTTCACTCGTGGTTGCCTTATACGAACATCTCCATTGGCATGTCTTGCACGATGTCTTCTCATATCACCTAGTTGTGTGAAACTAAAGAGACATATGTCACATGTGTATGGCCGCACACCATCATGAATACGCATGTGAACGTTTAAGTGAGACTTCCTGAGGAATCGCTTGCCACATTTTGAACACTGATGCTTACGATTTTCCATAGGCACATGAATCTGCATATGTGTTGTTAAATTCTGCTTGTAACTGTAAAAGATTATTTAATTGGGGGTTTGCTTTTTCAATACTTTTATGATGATTAAATTCATAACGGTAAAGTTTTACTCTATACTACAGTATTACAGTCACAGGTTTTTAAACTGTATATTCATACCTGAAACACTTTCCGCAATGTTCACATACAAAGTTTCCTTTATCATGGCGCTGAATATGAGACCATCGAGCTGTGTAACTTCTACAAAACGTATAAATTTGTCAGTTTATATTTAAATGAGCAAAATTATGATATTTGTATACATTGAAAGAGAAAGTACGATATACCGAAATTTTTTCTCGCAAATATGACAACTGTATGGTTTTTCTCCTGTGTGGATGTGTTCATGATCCAAAACAGATTTATAGGTAGCTAATTTCTTTCCGCAGTATCTGCATACAAAACAACCACTCGTGTACTGCTTCTTTGGTTGTATTCTGATGTTAGGTTCTAGTCCATGAACTTGTTGAACATGATTAGCCAACTGGCGTAATCTCTCAAATACCTCCTCACAATGGTCACACTTATGACCGAAATGCTTTGCTCTATGTACTCTCTAATAATAAATATACATAGTTATAATTTGCCAAAAATAATGTTTAAAAGCTTATATAGTACAAAGCACATATTTTACCATATTTGATAATCGATGAAATGTTCGACCGCAAATATCACATTGATGTGGCTTAATGCCTTCGTGAATAGACTGATGATGTTCCTTTAGTCTGACATTGTCCCTAAATGATCGGTTGCATAATTTACATTTGTATTTATCCCAGCATTCAGGATCATGTACCTATAAAAGCAATATTTACATAAACCATTATAAATTTAGATAAAAGTAATGCTGTAATGCTCAATTTTTTATTTCTTAAAAATATAAGATATAATATTACTTACATTACGGTGCTTTTGGTAAAATTCTTTATCAACAAATACTTTAGGACAGGCAATGCATTTGTAAATGGTTACAGAAGGATCGTCTAGCATCTCCATTTTATGTTTCTAAGAATGTAGCAGTAGTTTACAAATTTTTCAATTCATGGAAATATTAAGATTATTTCCATACTTACTCTTAAATGTCGCGTGAGCTTGTGATTTGTTGAAAAACAAATTTTACAATATTTGCATGTATACTTTGAGAACTTTTTCGGACACACATTTTCCTCGTGATTTTCCCATTGCCAGCTGTTCGAAAAATATTTTCCACACAAATCACACACAAATTTTAAATTCACCCTTTTGTACAAATTGTGTATATCTTTCTTATGTTCAAAGAGTGCATAAATTGAAGAGCACTCTACCTGACACATATTACAAGTTTTAAGTTTTGGAAGGTGAACCTTTTTATGAGCCCTAAGAAGGTCATCATCATCTACAGAAGCATCACATATATCACATAGCACCTCTAAAGAACATAATGCTAATGGTGCTGCATCGGTAACAATAGGAATATCAAAATCATCATTAGTATTTGGACTTATTGGTCTTTTAAATACTTCCTCTTTAATCTGATCGGTTTGATTTTCGCTAGCTGATTCAGCTTCTACACAGGCTTTGCAGAAAATGATATTACCACCATGAATGTTTTCTTTATGAGAAATTAATTCCTTGGATGTTTCATAACTTTTATCACACAAATTACACCTCCATTTAAGTAAATGAATTGTTTCTATATGGCTATCAAATAAATTCATATCACGGAACATTTTGTTGCAAAGTTCGCATTCTACTGGACCATTGATGTCAGTCTTCTTTATCTTTTTGATACGCATATTCAAAGCCTCTCTTAGCGTTTCTTGTATTTGCGATTTAATCAACCGTGTACTGCCGGTATCATTGTCGACAGTTTCTACAGTGCTGAGTTTTTTAGATTCATTTAATTCTGCACGTAATAAAGCATCAGCTTTCATGGAATTTACAATTAACTTGTAACTAATATTTAAGCAGTGTAAGCAACGTTTACACACATATGAAGGTAATTCATCTGTTGATAAAACCTGTAGTGGTATTAACGAAGCAGTTTTAATAAAATATTTATATCATTTTATAGTAATGAACACTTACAACAATTGGTAAACATCTGCTAATCTTTTCAGCAACTGATAGATTATTTTCAGCAAAAA